CAAGAGCCAGCCCAGGTTGCCTTTTCATGCAAATCCAGCACAGGGTGTCACTAAAGCAGGCCCTGATGAAGTTTAAAAAACAATTAATTAGTTAATTAAAACCATTAAGATACTATTTATTTTAGAATCATGCTTTTAGAGAATACCAGTTATTACTTAGGATATAGGATTTGAGATCAGTCATCTTCAAAAAAAGAAAAAGCTTGACTTAAGGCAGTACAAGTAAACAATACACTTTCTCGTGACTTAAGAACTGTAGTAATGTGGCTTAAGAAATATAATGACCTAATTGTTTTCAAAATGTAAGTTCCTATGAAGAATTTTGTTCATATTGAGTTGGGGGACCTATAGGTTTAAAATGTCAGCCAACTGATTTAAAAGACCTTGGTTTTACTAAATCTGCCTTCTCCTTCTGAACTGGGGTGGGAGTGAGGGACACTTGTGTAAAATCCCCAAATTGATGTTATAACTTTCAGCTTGAACATTGGTTTCCAGGCCTGATTAAAGAGTGGTTCATTCTATTTTCTGTACTCTATCATTATCTGAAGTTTAAGTGGTAACTGGTTCTATACCGTGTATGTATCATATGTTTGTTCATCAAAGCTTTTTAATCCAAATAAAAACAAGAGTTTGCAAAGTGAAAAAAAAAAAAGAGTGCTTGTTGCTCTTGTATAGGACCCAGGTTCAAGTCTCAGAACCCATACAGTGGCTCAAAACCATCCATAACCCCAGTTTCAGGGACCCCAACAGGCACACATGTGGTACATATAAATGCATACATGCAGGCAAAACATTCACACACATTCAGTAAAAAGAAATAAATCTAATAAACTAATTAATTAGCTAATTAATATCCTGAGATGGACATTAGACAATGACATGAGAGACTTCAGATTGTAAATTATGTAATGAAGAAAGTCCTGTCTGAGGAAATGATATTTTAATAAAAGCTGGTAAATAGACCTATGTATGCATTCTAAGTAGAGACAATAGAATTCAAGGGGTCCAAGAAGGGTCCAAGAAGGGATGAGATGGAGGAGAAAGTGATGAGCCATGAATGTAGAGAAATGGGGAGGGAGGCCATGGTAAGGACTTCAGGTTTTGCTCTGAATCGTGTGGGAAGTGGTTGGAAGTTTTGTGCGAAGGAATAGGCTGATTTTGCCTGACAGGTATAGTCTGGCTGTGTGTTGAGTATGGAATGAAAGGAGCACCAAAGAAGCGGTGGGTCCAGGGCAAGCACACAGGGTACAGTGGCTTGTGACTCGAATCCCAGCATTTAGGAGATTGAAACAGGATGTCTGCAAATACGAGACCAACTTCGGTTACATGGTGAGTTCCAAGACAGCCTGGGCTACACAATGAGACCCTGTCTCAAAACAAACAAACAAACAAACAAAAATACAGGAACCAGCAGAAAAGCTTGGGGTGAAAATGCTTAATATCCTGAATTTGGTTCCACAGTAGGAGAGAACTGACACCTGAAAGTTACTCTCTGACTTGTGTAAGTGCTTTGTGGTACTCTCTGGAGCACACACACACACACACACACACACACACACACACACACACTCACACACACACAGGCACACACAAACACACTCTCTACATACAAACAATAAATAGATGTAAGTGGTTTTTTTTCTTTCTTTGTTTTGTTTCTGCAAATCTACATGAAAGAGGACAGTGAAAGGTTCAGGCATTATGCTGGCCTGCCCCTGTTACCTGGTGGAACAGGCAGTACCCTGGTCAGCCCAAGGTTCCATGGGAACTAAGTCTGCACGCAGGTGCAGAGGAGCCCTTTAAAAGACAGGTCCCTGCCCATTTACGCTCTCTGTTTCCTCTCTCTGTTTCCCCTCTCTGTTTCCTCTCTGCTTCTTTCTACTCTCTCTCTCACCTATGTGCTCTCTCTATGGCAACCGGCCATGGTGGTCAGCCTTTACCCTGTTCCTCTTCTCTTAGTCTCCCTACTCTGCCGGGCCTTATAATAAACTTATAGTCAATATGTCTCATGTCTCAGCATTTCTCTTTTCTTCTTTTTAAACAAAACAATTTAACAGACAGTGGCAGGGCAGAGTTGTGGTAGCAGTGATGATTATGGAGTAGTGAATAGCTAAGGTCCGCACACATTCTGCAATGAAACCTGTGGTGATGTATTATTTATGATTTATTTAAGCTTCCCTGAGGATTCAGGAAGCAAAGTCAGCCTCAAGCTACAGAGATCAGGCAGTGGTGGTACACACCTTTAATCCTAGGACTCAAGATTAAGAAGTAGGTGGATCTCTCTGAGTCCAAGGCCACCCAGATCTTCATAAGATTGATCTAGTCCTAAAGAGAAACAGCTCACACAAAGATGATCTCAGTACCCAGGATCACACACATTTAATCCCAGAACTAGAGGGGTATAAAAGATAGGAGCAGGGCCTTAGTAGATTCATTCCCCAGCCACATTAAGGATAGGAGGTACTGAAGTCTCAGGATTCTCCAGCCACATGGAGGAGAGACAAGGATTAGCCCCTTTCAGCTGAGGTAGTAATAAGAGCTACTGACCAGTTGCTTTGCTCTTCTGATCATCAGCTTGATGTTTGAACCCCAATATCTGTCTCTGGGTCTTCAATTTTTCATGTTACAAAACCCCATAATGCATTGTCCGTAACTGAGAACAATGGAGGCAAAGAGAAGTTGTAGCTTGAACAATGCAGCCTGTTATAGGCAGGGCTGGCATGGGTCTCAGGTTTGTTTGTGTTTTTTCCCCCTGCCAAATCCTAGATTTTCTCCCATTGACCTCATTGTATATGAGCTAAAATAAGAAATCCTTTGCACTAACCCTGGACAATGAAGTATTTTACTTAAATGAATGTCAGGACATTAATTAATGGTTTAGAACTAAATGAGAAGCAGATGTGTACTGATGTGTGAATCCTAGCATTCAAGACCTAGGGGCAAACATTCAAGGCTAGCCTGGGCTTCATAATGATAACCAGTCTCAAAAATATAGCAACAAAAAGAGGAGAATAAAGGAAACTAACAACAACTAAATGGATCTGGTCCTGGAAACACAGGCCTGGAATAACAGTCACTCAGTCCTAAAGTTCATTCCCTGAACTACAGAACAAGTTCAAGGGCAGCCTGAGTGTGTTAGTGATACTGTGTCTTCGAAAATAAAACAAACCTGTTACACAGAGAAATCCTGTCTTGAAAACCCGTGATAGACAGACAGACAGGTAGATAAATAAAGCAAATTAAAAGATCTGAGGACAAAGCACAGCTGTAGAGAACTTGACTGCTATGGGTGAGGCCTGGGTTTCAATGTCTAGCAGCATACACATAAAGAAAGGTAGGAAGGACAGGTGGGAAGAAGGGAGGAAAAAAAAGAGAAAGAAAAATTAAGTGGGAATTGTTCAGTATTTTCATTGTTTGTGTCATTTTGTCTTAAAGTATATGTTGACATTTTGGACATAGTGGTCAGAACAAACATCAGTTGACTTTGTCCCTACTTATACGATTGGTCCACATCTT